TTCTGGTAATTTTAGATGATTGGAAAAGTTGAAGTTTACACGTGCGTTGTTTAATTGACGGTTTTGGAATGGATTTGATCCTGGTGGTTCATTTGTGGGACCGATGGTTTGGAATTTGTAATTGAATTGGTGATCAGGAAGTTTATTCTGGATAGAGGAGCGGTTATCTTCGGTTTGTATCGAACGAAACTATGTAAACATGGTATTCCGAATCGCGTTACTTTCTGCGACAGTCTTCGTGCTAGTTAATTATCATTTAATTGGCTTTTTACAGAATTGAGGCAACGAGACGATAGTTTTCGAAAGTAAGATTGCGTAGATCATTGCGTGTTACGTAACAACTTAATTTACATTTTACCAAAAAACTGCGTATTTCGAAATCTGTCAATTTTACTTCGTTGCTCTATTCAACCCATCTTCTCTTCTACTCTGTGTCCTAACATACATTTGCGACAAATATAAATTTACTATTTTTTTCGGTGTTATTCATTAAATATTAATCGAAGTAGAAAGTTCTAAAATCCTTCGACGTTTCCAAAAGGGACAATTTAAATTCAAACACGAAATGATTGAATACAATTGTCTCTACAATCCGCTCTCGTAGGTCAGATATGTACTTAATCTATTGCTATCGAAGTCGTTTATAGTTAATCGACGCGTAGGACACGTAAGACTACGATGTCTATAACCGTAGACGTCGAAGGAGGTAATCTGTTGCGGTTGAAGCAGACTGATCGGGTTAGGTTGGTAGGTTTTTGGTGTGAGAAGAAGGTGGTTGGTTCCCCAGGCCAGAAACGGAAGCTTTGGTTGGCTTAGGCATGGCCGTGTTTTTCTTGCCGCGGATCATTAGGACGATTAGGGTTCCTCCGAAAAGGGGGAGAACAGATTAACGCTCGAGCTGTTCTTGCGGTGCGCTTTGCTTTCTTAAACGGAGTCCTCTTTTCCGCCAGCTTTTCACTCCGTTTTTAAGTTCCTCTCCTGGACGAGGCGATAGATACCCCCTCACGTTGGATTAATAGCGTGGTCAACCATTTATTCGAGGGGATGAAATGAGAAAATTTCATTCAAAGCGTTTGAAAAGTTCAATCTCTTTTATTTCATCTGCGTTCGTTTGATCGTTTGATTGCCGTCAAAATTTGATGAGAAAACTGAAATGTTTATTGGGTTTCGTTAAATCTTATAATTACATTTTTATAATTATAAAGCTGTTAAGAGTTTGTAGAAATTTGCAAAATGTGCACAGAGAAACAAAGGTTTTAGAGAAACGTGGTAGAGTAAGAATTAAGTAGAAAGTATCTGTATGCAATCAGACACGTATGAAGCTACTTTGTTTCAGCAAACGTAATCAATGAATTTGTTTTGCCATTTTAATTTCTCATAATCATAGAGAGAAATTAATCTAGTAATTGAACTATGGAAAATGTAATTTTTTTTATATTTTTGATACTTGTGGTTATTCATAAGTAGAATGTAACACGCAAATTTTTCAAATACATTCTTAATATTCGTAATAATTGTACTTTGGCCTCGTAATTCTATATAATTAAAAACATTACGAAAGTTTAACTGTATTCAAGTGGATTTGCAACACTGGCTCAATTAGTACGTATCGATACATTTTGTGCAAATATCTCTTAGAGAAGCTTAAAGAATAATTAATAAATAATGAATATTTTTAGGAATAGAGAACAATTATTCAACCTTTAAGAAAAAATTTCAAAAAAAAAGAATATTAACGAATTTTGAGAGAAAAGGTTTTATATCTGGCGTGTATTTCACTTTGAAAAGCAAACGCAAAGCGAAACGAAACGAAACTATCATTAACAATTGTTAGACTTTCCGTTTTTCCATTAAGTCAATTTCTGTTGTAGGGGACAGATTACTTGATATACCGTGTCTGGTATGCGGTGACCGTAGCTCCGGAAAACACTACGGCATCTACAGTTGCGACGGTAATTATCAAGCTCTTCTGTACTTAAATTTTTCATTAAAAAAAAAAAAAAAAGAAAAAGGAAAAAACCTACTCTAGCAAATTCTTCGTTTATCTTCCAAAAGAAACAACAGATTCGTTGATTACAATTCGCTTTTTATTCGACGATTCATTCATTCACT